GGCAGGGCTGGCACCACCCTACTGCATGGCATTGGTTTCCCTTCCATGTCATCAGCCCCAGAATTAAGATTAGCAGGAAATGGTGGTCTGGTAACACCTCCATGCAGCTCTGCTCATGGCTGACAGATCCACCTCAGGGCTGGACAAGTTCATTCATCCAGACACATTCCCTGCAGGAAAAGTGTTGTGGGTGGGAAGGGCCCTGGGACCTGCAGCTCTGCACCCACTGCCCAAATCTTGAGAGGTTCAGCTGAGCTGGCCCCTGCTGAGCTGAGCCACTGCTGGGACACTGCAGAGGGTTTGGGAACACCCCACACTTGTCCAGGTCTTGTTGCCTTCAGTGCCAATGGCAGCACCTCCAGCTGGAGCCTTCAGCCAGGCCAGGTGAGCTGTCAGTGTCCCCTCCAGCATCCACAGAGCCCCTTTCCTGTGCAGGAAAGAGAGCCCAGCTCTGAGGTTCACACCAGGACCCCCAGCCAGGGGGGCACAGGGAAGGCACCCACACCCCCATGGCATCCAAACCCACAGGAGCAGAGAACGAGGACTTGGGGTAACAGCAGAGCTTCCCCCCTTGGGAGCTTCATCCCTGCACAAGGAGGGCTCCAGGAGGGGATGGCAGCCAGTGCAGACCCAGTGCCAAGGGTCAGAGAGAGGCTCCATCGTGTCCCCATCTTGTCCCCTGCCCATCCTGCCCACGTGTGCTGGAGAAGGAAACCCATTTCCTGTCACTGCCCATGAACAAACTGAGCTGCCTGATCCTGCAGAGGGGGGCTCCAAACCCTGCCCCCAACAAGCCATGGAGCAACCCAAGACCCCTCTGGGCTCCCATTCTTCGTCCCCAGCATGGCCACATCCCAAATCAGCCCCCTCCAGCTCAGAGCATCCCTCCCTGGCCAGACATTTCCAGTGTGGGTGTTGCAGGACACGGGCTGGGATCCCCCCCTAAGGAACAGACAGTGCTGTACAATCAGTGCCAAATTCATCCCTCTCGTGTGGCCTAAGCAGCTGCCCCAGGACTGCTCAGGGGCCCTGCTGGCATCAGTGGCATTTAATGTCTTCACCAATGGCACAGGAAGGGATCCCTCAGCAGCCTTGCAGCTGCCAGGACACCTCAGGTTTGCAGCTTTTTCCTGCCCGAGTCTCCTCAGGCAGGAGAGAAGAGCTCCAGGTGAGAGATGCCAATGGCAGCCCCTAAAGGAGGCTCAGGGGGGCTCCAGTGCCTGCAGGCTCGGAAGGAGCTGAACTGCAGCGTACGGAAAGCCCCGGCAGGGAGGGCCGGGAACTCCGCAGTCCTGCAGCACCGCTCCCTGGCCAGGGAGGGACGGGACGGGCTGTGCAGCCAGGGCAGAGCTGCTCCAGGGCTGCGCTCCCTGCTCAGCCCTGCGAGATCCAGCGGCCCCGGGCCCCCTCCTGCAGCTCCTGCCCCCGGACATGGTGCCAAACTCGGCTGTACCCGGACATGGTGCCAAACTCGGCTGCCTTTGCTCCAAACGCTGCCCAGCGCCACTCCAGACCCGTCTCGCTCTGCCAGGAGCTCGGGCCGTGGGGCCACAGAGGAGTTGCCCTTCCCAAAGGGAAAAGGACCCAAAGTCACCCCCAGGGACGGCTGGGGCACTGACACCAACAGAGCCAGGCCCTGCCCGGGGAGGACTCCACACTGCGGGGTGCATCGGAGCTCTCTGGGACAAAAAGGGGCCGAAGACACGAGCACAACTCCCGCCCCCACTCCTGCTCCCAGCATCCAAACTCCTCCTGGAGGCAGCAGCAGCTCCTTCCTGAGGGGCTCCAGCAAGAGCCGAGTGCCCAGCCCTGAGCAGCTCTGTCCTGGAGGGAAGGGACGGGACACACAACTGAACAGAGGGACACGGACATTCCCAGCCCACAGAGAGCAGGAACCTGCAGAGGGTGAGGAGGCACAGCCTTGGTCACGGTGCTGGATGGAGAAAAGCCTTTCCTAAGCAGGGCCTATGAAGGGAAAGAAAGTTGACAAGGGAAGAGGGTCCAGTGCATTCCTGAGTGAGACTTCAGCACTCAGAAACAGCCTGGAAGAGCCTGCTGATTCATGGACAGACTTGGTCCTGCTCTCCATGTCACCAAAGATGAGATGGAGTCCAAACAAAAGAATTTGGGGGCGTGGAGGGAGGAGGAGAGGGTGGTGGAGGAGGATTGGTGCAAATCAGCAAATACCCCAAACCTGCTGCCCAGGGGACTCCTGTGTGAGGAGCCCACACTTCCTGCCCCAGCAGGATCACCCTCCCTGCTCGGGGGCTGAGAGGGGATTTTGCTGTAACGCTGCTGGAACCTGTTCCCCAGCTTGTCCACGCCAGGCTGGCACAGGCACTGACCTCAGCAGTGCCACCAAAGCCAGCCCAGGGACAGGGGACAGCTCAGCCCATTAGAGCACAGCCTGCCCTGCATGGGGTGGGAGGTTCAGCTCATCCCTCCCTCCCAGCTCGGGAGCATTTCTTTCCTCATGCTCACAAACTCCACCAACGAGGCACTGCTGCTCTCTCATGGCATGGGAATTTTGGGCAGTGGCTCCCAATGACTCCCAAGCAGAGGCTGCAGCAGTGCCACCCCCCCGCAGCAGCACTGGGACCCTGGTGACAGGGAGCCACAGGTCAGGATCCCTCTAGGACATCCTTTGGCCAATACAAATAGTTCCTGGAAGGAAGAGCAGCCCCCCAGAGTCACAGAATCTTAAAGATTTGGACTGGAAGTTATCTTAAAGACCAACCAGTTCCACTCCCCTGCCATGAAGAAATACCTTCCATTAGCCCAGGTGGAAAAGGATGAAAGAAACATTCAAGTTGCAAAAAAAATTTTTATTTATGTGTTGTTATTATTAATAGCTGCTAAACTGAACTAAGAGCTGGAGCTGCTGGATTGGACCCAACACACTGGGAAGGTTTTCCAGTTGTTTTGACAGTGAGTAAAACAGGTGGACAAAGAGCTGCTAAGGAGATGCTGGCACTCAGGGAGAGACAGCAGAACCTAGCAGCCAGTGGGAAAAGGGTCCTGTCCACCCTGTGCCACCATGGCAGTGCCCAGCCCATGCTGGGTGTGCTCTGAGCTGTGCCCACAGCTCCCAATCCCTGCTCTGGGAGAGCAGGATGGCAGGACAGTGCCACCTTCTGCAGCCAAGTGTGGCAGGCGAAGCCCCTCAGCATCTGCCAGGGCAGGATGTTCCCGTGCCCACCCCAAACCCATTATCCCACCCCTGGCATGAGGCCGGGCACCACTGCCCAGGATGTGCTGCTGAAGAGGAGCTGATCCCAGCCATGTCCAAGTCCTGCTCAAAGGGGGCTCTCCCCGTGTGCAGGGGACACTCACACTGTCCCTGCCTGCCCGAGGCAGCGCTGGGGACCCTCTCTGGTGGGACACACACCCCTGTCCCTGTGGGATCCATGGGGATGCTCCCAGGCCCTCACCCATCCCCTGGCATGTGGGACCGCGCTGCTGTGACTCCCCTGCTTCTCCCCACACTTCACTGGCTTACAAATTCCAGGCTGGAAAAGGAAGCTGCCGGTGTTGGAGGAGGACAGAGGGACCCAGGGAAAGGCCGGACCTCTCTGGGTGAGGAATGAACCCACCTGTGGGTGGGGAAAATCCTACCTCTGCTCCCCCGAGCACGGCCAAAAACTTCATCCTTTTTCCCAGCAAAGGGGGAATCTCCGCTGCCCCCCAGACTGAACCCAGTGCCCAGGACCGGGAACATCCCCAAGATTTATCCACGGACTGGGTCTGCAGCAGGTCCTGGACAACCGTGCTGGAACCGAAGCCAAGGAG